TCTGGAGTGACTCTGGAGTGACTCTGGAGTGACTCTGGAGTGACTCTGGGGAGTGACTCTGGAGTGACTCTGGAGTGACTCTGGAGTGACTCTGGAGTGACTCTGGAGTGACTCTGGGGAGTGACTCTGGAGTGACTCTGGAGTGACTCTGGAGTGACTCTGGAGTGACTCTGGAGTGACTCTGGGGCGTGACTCTGTGGCGCCCCCTTCAGTCTATTCTTTAAGTCTCGTTTAAAACACTTTGAGTCACAGATTTTAACACAGCGAGAAATTTAGTTTATTCACTATTTTTCTATTTGCTAATTTTAGTATTTTTTTGTTTTTTCATTGACCTGCTTATTTATTTATTTATTTATTTCGTTTGTTTATTTTGTGCCGACTCTGTGCAGCACTTTGGAGACTTTGTGTTGGTAAAATGTTCCGTACAAATAAAGTCGGGCTGGTTCAGACGAGTTTGTCCACGACTCGTTTTCAGTCGAATATTTAGTCGGTACAAACCTCGGTGATAAAACTGCTCTGACACATGAACGTTTTGGCTGAAGGAGGTGTTCTCGAACCCCGCCCCTTTAACTACAGCCCCTCCCCCCCTAGCCCCGCCCCCCTCGGCCCTCAGGTGCGCCGTTTGTCTGTCGCGGTTCGACGCTTCGCCGGACGCGTCCTTCAGCGAGACGATAAACTCTGATCTACGACTCGGGGGGACGAGGAGTCTAACCCGCAACCTCCTCGCCGCAGGGAGGAGGAGGCTAACCACTCTGCCACGTGCGCACGCACACGCAGAGGGACGGGGGAGTCTAACCCGCAACCCGGCGGCGCGAGGGCGGAGGCGCCGCTCTGTGCCGGCTGCGCGGTGCTGAGTGTGCGTTTGTGCGTTTGTGCGTTTCAGATTCACGGCTTTGACATCTGTGTCCTTCCCACCTCACTGCCCCCTGTCGTTTATCACCAGCCCCCCAACGTTTCACCCCCCCCATCGTCCAGGGCCCACGGAACGAGGGATGAGGAGGAAGAGGAGAGAGAATGAGGAAGAAGGGTGGAGAAGGGAGGAGAGAGTAACGAGGGAGGACGGAGAGCAGGAGAGGAGAGAGGAGGAAGGAAAAGTGAGGAAGAGGAGACGAGGGGAGAAGAGGAGGAGAGGAAGAGGAGAGCGATGGAGAGAGAGAGAGAGAGAGAGAGAGAGGAGGAGAAAGGGGAGGAGAGAGAAAGGAAGAGGAGAGCAACGAGGAGGGAGAAAAGGAGGAGGAGAGGGGAAGAGGAAGAGGTGGAGGAGAGCGATGGAGAGGGAGAGAGGAGGAAGAGGAGGAGAGGAAGAAGAGTGATGGAGAAGGAGAGGGGGATGAGGAGGAGGAGGAGGGTTAAAGATGAGCCTAATGTGCTGCAGAGAATGATGCTGCTCGATGCTGATGTAGTTTAAACACACAGCACAGAACTGGACATCCTTCACAGAGACGAGAGAGAGAGAGAGAGATGGAGAGAGAGAAGAGGAGGAGGAGGAGGGAGAGATGGAATAGAGAGGGGGGGAAGTGAAGAGGAGGGAGGAGGGGGGGGGGGGGGGGGGGGGGGGCAGAGTCAAGTGGAGCCAAAAGCAGAAACGGAGCCGTGATAAGTGTTTATGAGAACAAGGCCCCGAGCGAAACACACGAGGGAGGAGGGAGAGAGAGAGAGAGAGAGAGAGGGGGGGGGGGGGGGGGATGGAGGGGGGGGCGGGTACAGTGACGGAGGGAAAGAGAGGAGGAGGGGGGGTGGGGGGGGGTACAGTGACGAAGGGAAAGAGAGGAGGGAGAGGAGGGGGGGTACAGTGATGGAGGGAGAGGGGCAGCGGAGGGAGGTACAGTCACGGAGGGGGGGATGAGGAGGAGGAGGGGGGTAGAGGGGGAGGGGGGGGGGGTGTGTAGTAAATGGAATGTGGCGCCGTTGGGAACAGGAAGTGCAGCCGTTGCCAAATCTCAGGTCAGACACGGAATCATAAACACGACTGAAACAGCACGATTGCACTCGCTCTTTCTCTCTCTTTCTTTTTCTCTTTCATTCATTCTCTCTCTCTTTCTCTCTCTCTCTGGAGCCACAGCCGCCGCGGGGCAGACTGTTCATCTGGTGCATTGTGACGGTTCGGTCGGTTTAAGGCCGTGTGTCTGAGCAGAATGTTGATGTTCTGCAGATTCAGCTCTTTAGGTCACAGCCAGACTCTACGTTTATACTGTTTCTACCTTTATATTCCATTTATACCATTTATACTGTTTGTACTAGGGATGAGCATGATTAATCGATTAATCGATAATTGATCATTAAGAATTTCATGGATTCCGTTGATTTTAATGGACAAACTGAATGTATGTGTGTGTGTCGTGACCAAACAGGTGTGTACATGTGTCTCTGCATCAGAAGGAGCGACACACAAACAGTGGGTCAGTCTGTAACGAACCGAAGCACAAATGTGGATTTAACCAGGATTTGTAGAAGAAATTCCACACTTTCCGTTGCGTTGGGACAAGTGTGAGTCCATGTGCACAGTGGATAAAGCAGCACATATGTTTCTGTGTCCAGTGGGAAAAAGTTTTTCCAGGTGAGAGTCGCTCAATGTGGATGACGAGGCCCCGCCCCCCTCCCCCCGTACGCTGTCCTGGTTTTGACAAACACAAATCTGGTCACACTGACCTGTATTCACCTGAGTCATGTCTTTTAATCCAACACAAGTTGAACCACATCAGCGACACAAGAGCTGGAGTTTTATCTTCACTTAGTTTATGTAAATTAGTGATGTGGTTTTAAGTTTTGTTTCTGTGAGATTTGAACAAAACTGAATTAAACACATTATAATGTCAAACAGCTGATGTGGATCTAGAGTCGTTATGTTTATATGTCGTAAAGTTGAATTTATTGATGCAGATTAGTGCAGATAGTAATAATAATGATGATCATTTTAATAGAAAAAAATTCATGATTAATCGATAATCGATCGTTAATTCTTCCGACGATCGATGAAGAAAATTTCATCAAATGCCCGTCCCTAGTTTGTACCATTCAATACCATTTATATCGTTTATAACATTAAAAACTGTTTATACCATTTGTACCGTTCATGCTGTTTATACTGTTTATATCGTTCAACAGGAAACATCAGACCAGCTTCAGGAGCTCCAGGCCCAGCTGTCTGTCAAACACACACCAGCCAATGAGGACGCACCATGACAAACCCCGCCCACCTGCCACACCTGTCCCACCTGTCCCACCTGTCCCACCTGCCACACCTGCCACACCTGTCCCACCTGTCCCACCTGTCCCACCTGCCACACCTGTCCACACCTGCCACACCTGTCACACCTGTCACACCTGCCACACCTGTCCCACCTGCCACACCTGTCCCACCTGTCCACACCTGTCCCACCTGTCCACACCTGCCACACCTGTCCCACCTGTCACACCTGTTGTCCCACCTGTCACACCTGCCACACCTGTCCCACCTGCCACACCTGTCCCACCTGTCACACCTGCCACACCTGTCCCACCTGTCCCACCTGTCCCACCTGCCACACCTGTCCCACCTGTCCCACCTGCCACACCTGTCCCACCTGTCCCACCTGCCACACCTGTCACACCTGCCACACCTGTCACATATATTTTCTTATGTGATATTTTGACTTTATAATTTTTGGACGTTTTAAAAGCGTCTTTGATCTTTATGACTCTAAATTGATTCCATAAATATGAGCGGTTTATTGTCCGAGAAACAGGAAGTGCAGGTGCACACTCGGGTTCAGAGCGCTGATACTTTGGGCCGTGGACGGGGAGACTCGTGTCGACCTGAAGGACGCCTTAACGATATTTTTAATGAGTATTGATTCCTCGTTTGTTCCCGTCTCATTAAACGCTCGTCTCGTTTCCTTTTTCCTTCGGCTCCTGTTTTTTCTCACGTCGTCAAACTGAATTAATTTGAACAATTATTCATTTCAAAAGAGATTTACAGCCCCGATCTCCTCCTCCTGCCCACGTATCTGCCCCAAACACAGGCAGAACACGCAAACGCCTCACCGCACGCTCCACCGCTCTGGGAATAGAACCTGTGACCTTCTCACTGTGACACTGGGCCACACTGAACACTGCAGCGTGTAACAGAAACAAAAGTATAAATAAAAGAAAAACAAATCTCATTTTACACAAGTGAAAGTGAAAGTGAAAGTGAACGTGTGCTCCTGGTTCTCCTCATTGGGCTGGACTTCAGTTTTAATGAAGCGTTTATTGTTATCATTTCACTTATTGTGCCAAACAGTGTTTTAAAGCTACACTACGTCACTTTCTGCATGTTTCCATGGAAACAATGTTCAACATTCTCCATGGCAACAGATTTGATTTATATTTTTGTACGTTTTATGTCACAGTGTGGAGAACTACAGCAAAAGGAACAACATCAACATAGAACAAGCAGGAGGAGAGTCAGGTCTGTGGAGAGGCGAGCTCACAGTGAGGACAGAGTCAGGTCTGTGGAGAGGCGAGCTCACAGTGAGGACAGAGTCAGGTCTGTGGAGAGGCGAGCTCACAGTGAGGACAGAGTCAGGTCTGTGGAGAGGCGAGCTCACAGTGAGGACAGAGTCAGGTCTGTGGAGAGGCGAGCTCACAGTGAGGACAGAGTCAGGTCTGTGGAGAGGCGAGCTCACAGTGAGGACAGAGTCAGGTCTGTGGAGAGGCGAGCTCACAGTGAGGACAGAGTCAGGTCTGTGGAGAGGCGAGCTCACAGTGAGGACAGAGTCAGGTCTGTGGAGAGGCGAGCTCAGAGGACAGAGTCAGGTCTGTGGAGAGGCGAGCTCACAGTGAGGACAGAGTCAGGTCTGTGGAGAGGCGAGCTCACAGTGAGGACAGAGTCAGGTCTGTGGAGAGGCGAGCTCACAGTGAGCACAGAGTCAGGTCTGTGGAGAGGCGAGCTCACACTCACAGTGAGGACAGAGGATTTTCTGTGCTATAAATAATTCAACCCAAAGTGAAACCCCCACAGTCAGAGGTGAGTGTTGTACCTGATCCTCCGTCCGCCAGGTAAAGGTCACGAGCGAAAAGCACCGAGTCCAACATCGACTCGAACAGGAGGAAGTATCCCTGAAACACACAGACACAGAGGAGGGGGGTGAGATTTAGAGCCCGACCGATATATCGGTTGATATGAGCACCTGGAAGCATATCGACTATCAGCCGATATTTCCTGTGGACATGTGATACGTCGTTATAAATCTTAGACTCTCTACATTCTGTTCATTTAATTCAATTTACAGACAGATAAATGTCCAAATATGTGACTCCACATCAGTGTTTATCTGTGGAGTCATTTGTGTGTGTGTGTGTGTGTTTGTACTGTCCCTGAACACACCACAGAGTCAAGTCACACATGTGTGTTTGTTCACACGCGCAGACACAGATCCAAACACTGAGATTATTTTCTTTTTATGGACAATCGGTTTGAGTCTGGATTAAAAGGACATTTATTAGTTGAGACTTGTGATGTGGGAGGAGCCTGTGTGATGTGGGAGGAGCCTGTGTGATGTGGGAGGAGCCTGTGTGATGTGGGAGGAGCCTGTGTGAGGCTGAGTGTTGTTTTGGTCATTTGTTCTTGATGATCTGTGTCACATAAACAGGTGGTTTTCTATTGGTCTGTTGTAAAGTGATTATTTGTTTCTGCATTGATGTAAATGAGCTGTGAACAGACGTGTGAATGATCGACATTTACACATAGAATTAATTACCGCGGCGCGCAGCATTTACGGCTAAAGGCTAATAGTGACTGTTTATTTCCTCTCTAGTAGTGACGGTCGGTCGTGAACGAAGCGGCTCTTAGATCGGCTCTTTGAAACGAACGACAGGAGCCTGATCCTTATTGGGAGTCGTGTTTTCTCTTTCTCTCACTTTTTTTCTCTTCACGTCGCGTTCAGACTCGTGGGAGTTTGACAGCAGCAGCGGCTCAAAACCAAACTTTCAAAAATCTGTGTGTGGATAAGGTAAAAAAAAACAAAGCATAAAATAAATAAACCAGGACTAATCTTGGGGTTGAGAGACGGAGACCGAGTCCAGACACTCAGTCCTGGTCTAGTCCTGGTTCAGTTCAGGTCTAGTCCTGTTTTAGTCCTATGACATTTCATGTAAAGAGGCAGAAGAACAATAAATGTTTCCTAAATAAACCCAGTTTAAAATCCACCAGAGCCAAACCTAAGTTTTTTTTAAATAATTCAAGATTTACATAAAATTTTTACATCACTAAATATATCGGTGATTATATCGGCAGCTCCAACTCCCATTATATCGGTATCATATTGGCCACAACAAAATCCATATCGGTTGGGCTCTAGTTCGATTTATGATTTAAACTCTGATGTGTACGTGGTGAATCGTTCCCCTGTTCCATAAGTCAGATGCCCTCCCCGGAACATGACTGTAATTAGCACATGTAATCAGATTACTCTCCCACAGACGAGCGCTGATCAGAGCCCCATCATCGCCACGACGACAGCAGCCCTGACACACCGGGGTACCCACAGCCCCTCGCCGTGACCCCGCCGTGACCCCGCCCCCTCGGCGCTCCGGACGTTCCCCCCCCGCCCCCTCGGCGCTCCGGACGTTCCCCCGCCCCCTCGGCGCTCCGGACGTTCCCCCGCCCCCTCGGCGCTCCGGACGTTCCCCCCCCCCCTCGGCGCTCCGGACGTTCCCCCCGCCCCCTCGGCGCTCCGGACGTTCCCCCCGGCCCCTCGGCGCTCCGGACGTTCCTCGGCTCTCAGATTTTTCCATTAAAGTTGGAATTGGTTTGTGTGAAACGCCCGGCACTGACACGTTCATTCTGCTGACAAACAGGTCTGTCCAGAGCCCGGGCGTTTCACTCACACCTGGGAATTCTGTTTAGGAACGTTCAAACGGGAATTATATCGACTCATACTCGCTCCGATTTTGCTAAACACGGCAAAAGTGCGTGAGAGTCCAGAGCGGCGCCGGCCCAGACCCCCCCCCCCCCCGCTGCTGCACGTCACAGCAGAACGAGACGCTGAACAAAACCATAATATATATAAATATATTTGTTTCGATTCTTCAGATTAGAACCTGCGTTTGGTCCATCTCCAAAATATTTTATGCAAATTAATGAATATTTAGAGCTCAAGACTACAACCAGTGTTGGGAAGTTGACTTTTAAAATGTAATCCCCAGATTACAGATTACATCCCCCAAAATGTAGTTTGTAACAGAATCCAGTAAATTACTTAAAGTGAGTAATGTAATCTGATTACTTTGGATTACTTGATTTGCTGTAGAGAAACAAAGACGAGAAAATCTTCACATAAGAAGTTTTGTCTGATAAAAGAAAATAAAAAGTCCAAACTTTACTGAACCAAATTAAAAATATTATTGATAGAAGAAGAAGAAACACGTCCACACAGCAGGATTTAGTCCTGGTTTAGTCCTGGTTTAGTCCTGGTTTAGACCTGTTTTAGACCTGGTTTAAACCTGGTTTAGTCCTGGTTTAGTTTCCGGCAATGAGTGGAATTACTGAAAAAAAAAAAAAGGGAATACTCCGAAATGTGAAAACAAGAAAATCCCTCTGTGTAATCGATTTATTTCAACAAAGTAACTGTAATCTAATTACCACTCACTGAAACAGTAACTGTAACTGAATACAGTTACTCATCATTTGTACTCTGATTACTCCCCAACACTGGCTACGACACAGAACCAAATGAATAAAGAAGATTCCAATAATGTGTCATTTTCTTCAACAAACACAAACTGAAACTTTTATAAACGTTTGTAAAGTGCAGCTCCTCTGTGTCTGTCTGTGTGTGTGTGTGTCTGTGTGTGTGTGTGTCTGTGTGTGTGTGTGTGTGTCTGTGTGTGTGTCTGTGTGTGTGTGTCTGTGTGTGTGTGTGTCTGTGTGTGTGTCTGTGTGTGTGTCTGTGTGTGTGTGTGTGTGTGTGTGTGTGTGTGTCTGTGTGTGTGTGTCTGTGTGTGTGTGTGTCTGTGTGTCTGTGTGTGTGTCTGTGTGTGTGTCTGTGTCTGTGTGTGTGTCTGTGTGTGTGTGTGTGTGTGTGTGTGTCTGTGTGTGTGTGTGTGTGTGTGTGTGTGTGTGTGTGTGTGTGTCTGTGTGTGTGTGTGTGTGTGTGTGCTGTGTGTGTGTGTGTCTGTGTGTGTGTGTCTGTGTGTGTGTCTGTGTGTGTGTCTGTGTGTGTGTCTGTCTGTGTGTGTGTCTGTCTGTGTGTGTCTGTGTGTGTGTCTGTGTGTGTGTCTGTGTGTGTGTGTGTGTGTGTGTCTGTGTGTGTGTGTGTGCTGTGTGTGTGTGTGTGTGTGTGTGTGTGTGTGTGTGTGTCTGTGTGTGTGTGTGTGTGTGTGTGTGTGTGTGTGTGTGTGTGCTGTGTGTCTGTGTGTGTGTGTGTGTGTGTGTGTGTGTGTGTGTGTGTGTGTGTGTGTGTCTGTGTGTGTGTGTGTGTGTGTGTGTCTGTGTGTGTGTGTGTGTGTGTGTGTGTGTGTGTGTGTGTGTGTGTGTGTGTGTGTGTGTGTGTGTGTGTCTGTGTGTGTGTGTGTGTGTGTGTGTGTGTGTGTGTGTGTGTGTGTCTGTGTGTGTGTGTGTGTGTGTGTGTGTGTGTGTGTCTGTGTGTGTGTGTGTGTGTGTGTGTGTGTGTGTGTGTGTGTGTGTGTGTGTGTGTCTGTGTGTGTGTGTGTGTGTGTGTCTGTGTGTGTGTGTGTGTGTGTCTGTGTGTGTGTGTGTGTGTGTCTGTGTGTGTGTGTGTGTGTCTGTGTGTGTGTGTGTGTGTGTCTGTGTGTGTGTGTGTGTGTGTCTGTGTGTGTGTGTGTGTGTGTCTGTGTGTGTGTGTGTGTCTGTGTGTGTGTGTGTCTGTGTGTGTGTGTGTGTGTGTGTGTGTGTCTGTGTGTGTGTGTCTGTGTGTGTGTGTGTGTGTGTGTGTGTGTGTCTGTGTGTGTGTGTCTGTGTGTGTGTGTCTGTGTCTGTGTGTGTGTCTGTGTGTGTGTGGTGTGTGTCTGTGTGTGTCTGTGTGTGTGTGTGTGTGTGTGTGTGTGTGTCTGTGTGTGTGTGTGTGTGTGTGTGTGTGTGTGTGTGTGTCTGTGTGTGTGTGTGTGTGTGTCTGTGTGTGTGTGTGTGTGTCTGTGTGTGTGTGTGTGTGTGTGTGTGTGTGTGTGTGTCTGTGTGTGTGTGTGTGTGTGTGTGTGTGTGTGTGTGTGTGTGTGTGTGTGTCTGTGTGTGTGTCTGTGTGTGTGTGTGTGTGTGTGTGTGTGTGTGTGTCTGTGTGTGTGTGTGTGTGTGTGTGTGTGTGTGTGTGTGTGTGTGTGTGTGTGTGTGTGTGTGTGTGTGTGTGTCTGTGTGTGTGTGTGTGTGTGTGTGTGTGTCTGTGTGTGTGTGTGTCTGTGTGTGTGTGTGTGTCTGTGTGTGTGTCTGTGTGTGTGTGTGTGTGTGTGTGTCTGTGTGTGTGTGTGTGTGTCTGTGTGTGTGTGTGTGTGTGTGCTGTGTGTGTGTGTGTGTGTGTGTGTGTGTGTGTGTGTGTGTGTGTGTGTGTGTGTGTGTGTGTGTGTGTGTCTGTGTGTGTGTGTGTGTGTCTGTGTGTGTGTGTGTGTCTGTGTGTGTGTGTGTGTGTGTGTGTGTGTGTGTGTGTGTGTGTGTGTGTGTGTGTGTGTGTGTGTGTGTGTGTGTGCTGTGTGTGTGTGTGTGTGTGTCTGTGTGTGTGTGTGTGTGTGTGTGTGTGTGTCTGTGTGTGTGTGTGTGTGTGTGTGTGTGTGTGTGGTGTGTGTGTGTGTGTGTGTGTGTGTGTGTGTGTGTGTGTGTGTGTGTCTGTGTGTGTGTGTGTGTGTGTGTGTGTGTCTGTGTGTGTGTGTGTGTGTGTGTGTGTGTCTGTGTGTGTGTGTGTGTGTCTGTGTGTGTGTGTGTGTGTGTGTGTGTGTGTGTGTGTCTGTGTGTGTGTGTGTCTGTGTGTGTGTGTGTGTGTGTGTGTGTGTGTGTGTGTGTGTGTGTGTGTGTGTGTGTGTGTGTGTGTTGTGTGTGTGTGTCTGTGTGTGTGTGTGTGTGTGTGTGTGTCTGTGTGTGTGTGTGTGTGTGTCTGTGTGTGTGTCTGTGTGTC